CATAATATAGCTTTAATCCAGGATTTGGTTGAGTTTAATTAAAAATCTCATTTTTCCTAACGGGACAATAAAATCACTTATTCAAAAACAAAAAACGTAATTAATTAAATAAATAAACTGAATGTACTCATTAGCTCATGTACTCAAAGCGCTTTGAGTGTCCTGGATGGATCAAAAGGCGCTATAGTACAGTCCAGTTACCATAGTTGTTTTTGACATTCAGGTGTAACATTTGGTTCCACWTTGCTGTAAAAACACAATAAAATTTTGTCTATAAAAATAAGCAGATCAAACAAAATTAAATATTTTCCTATAAAACGCTAAAACAAAGTGATGAAATTTATTTATGTGTTAAACCTACAGACAAGTGCTGAGCTGCCAGGTGTTACCACTTTCTGCTGACAGAGACATCATTTTAATAATCTGCTGGCAGTCTCTGTAGGATTTATGAATTGGTGAAGTTAGAAAATCTGATTATTTGTTGTTTTTACTATTTGAAACAATTCAGTCAGAGGAGCTATTTTCACCCCCTCAGCGACTTCTCTTATTTTGTGACGTTTTTATCAGACAGCCTGAACCACAAACACTTTCAATAAGCAGCTGAGTGAAACTAATCAAAGCGGTACATCGTTGTGTTTAAAACAAATCTGGTCTGACAGTTATCGTATTTGAGTGTTGACTTCATAAAATGGTGTTGAAAGAATAAAATGATAGCCCTGAAATTAGAGTGCACAGAGAACTCATCAGATTTTCAGAGGTAAGATTTTATTTTAATTGCAGCCCTTTTGCATTTCAAACTCAAAGTGTTGATTTTTTATTTATTTTTAATTGATGAGGTTAGGTTTTACTGGGTTATTTGAACCATATGAATACGACCAACTGATGCCCAAATACACAGAGGCTAAAATGTTTACAGTTCAGAGTAAACTAACAGTGTTAAACCTGACTTTGTTTAGCATAAGTCAGAAATGTTTATGGAGAAATTTAGAAGTTTATTTGCAAAGATTTTAACATGTTTCTTTTAATAATCTGAAATTTCATCAAATTCTTGAATTACTTTAATGTTTGTCTTTTTAATTTTTCAGCAGACCATTAAAGCATTAAACCGCATCAGGGTTTTTTTTTCGACACTTAAGAAAAATCGACAGATCTTTAATTCTAAATATATAAACATTCTGGGGGAACAGTCGAATGAAGACCCCATGTCAAAAATCYAGTCTTATGAGCTCACGTTAAAAATGATTTAAATTTCTTCTGCTTTCACATTTATTCTAAACGTTTTCATAAAACGACTCRGCTTTACATCACAGATCCTGCAGTTTAAAAGCTGTGAGCTCATTTCTCCTGCCTGGGCCTCCCTGACCTCTGAAACACAAAGACAGAGCTGGACTCGCCCTCCGGGTCGAGCCGGTGTCACTAGATGGCGCTGCAGCACCGACTATCCCCCCTCCTGTTGGTTCTGTACACACCACATCCAGGGCTTTATTTATTTATTTTCTTCTTTCTCTGGGAGCCTAATGGGAAATTTGAAGTCACTTAAATAAAAAGGAAGGTGTAATTAATGCAACGCGCTATTAATTGCATCTGCTACAGAGCGGATGAAGGGCACCRGGGCCCACTGTTTTTACATCACAAGGCCCCTCAAAAGTCTGTTCAGACATCACAGAGAGGGAAGTGAGGAGCTTATTTTTCCAGRTGATGGTGACGATGATGAGGCAGAGAGACATACATGTTAGCACCGTATATATCACACACTGTCCTCACCATCCTGTAGAAAATTGTCATTAAAGGTTATTAACCAAACTGACTGGAAACACAAGGTCAATATAAGATAAACCCACAGAGTTCACTGCAGATATTAGTTCCTGAATGTTTAGAGGATGACTTACTTTCTCCAAATTAAATAGAAGCTAAATGAAGAGATTTACAGATGAGGATTTGTACGAGCAGTTCAGTTTTTCTTTAGGGTCCTTTCTGTGAGTTTTCCTAACAGCTTCGCAGAATTCTTCGTTTTTTCTCTTTTGCACAGTCATCCTCACATTCTCAGCTCATTCACAGGCTCACAATCCTGCAAACTTCAAAAGAGCAACGACGAGGATTTCAAACCAGAGTCAGAAAGGACTGTTTTTTTTTTGTTGTTGTTTGTTTTGTTTTGCAAAAAGGTAATCCAGCTAAAAGCAGAAGTTCAAACACCAACACTGCAGCTTCCTGTGGGAATATTTCAGACAAATGTAGGAAAAGAAATGAGAAACTCAGCATCATTCACCAGTAGAGCTCAGAAAGGTTTTGGTGGACTTTAGCCCCTCCCACATTAAAAAGGTTTTTCAAATTTCAGGAATAATCCTAATTTTGTCCCTAAATTATTAATAAATGATGTTTCCTTCTGCTTAGGTGCGCAAAATAAAATCATAATTCCCATCTTCTGAGTGAAACATATTGCATTGTTTACAGTGGAGCACGCCTGACCAACAGAAACCAGACTGTAAAATTATCAAAACATTATAAACCTTGCAARAGAGCATAAAAATATAAAAGTAACAATCACCGCAAAATAACACAAAATGGACCCTTTTCAATCTTAAGGGGCCACTTCTGGTCCTCGGACTGTCACTTTGGTAACCTAATTGAACACTGGATGGAAGCTGTGACCAAAGTGAGTCTATTTAAAAGCAGCCTGGAGGCAGAAACAACACATCATCAACTCACAATCATCCATTCATCCACTCATTTCCCTGCAGCCATTAATCCCACTCAGAGCTGAGTTTTACCTCCACAGCTGTCGGCTGCTGGCTCCTTCCTGTTTACTGCCAGATTTATTACACATGCTCAATGGATATATAGATATAAAAAAAGCATTTAGGCTTTATGTTGGAAAAAAAACTTTTTAATATCAACCCCATTATTTAAAAATGTGCAAGTCCTTTGTTCATTTGTGAAGTGGAAACAGCTGCAGGCGTTTCTCACCTTAAATCTAGCCCCAATTCATCCAGTGAACACGACATATACCCCCCCATTTCAAAAATAAAAACAACAAAATAAAATAAAAAAAACAGCGTTAGATTGCCACAGGTCTACATCCCACAACTTCAGTAAATTATGTTTATTTTATAATTAAATAAATCTTCAATCACTGCTTCTGCTTTTGGCAGAAAAAAAGGAAAAAAAGGAAGGGAAGAGAAAATGTTTTTTTGTTTCCAATGAGAGGTATTGAATTAAAAAAAATCCCTGGATTTGTGTCCTAAAGCAAAAATCTATGTGGAGAAAATGTGTTATTTACATTCAGCTGTGGCTGGAACAATCCTCCCGCTGCAGAGAGAGAAACAAAACCAAACCAAACATCTTTTTTCTCTCCAACAAAACAAAACTAAAACCTGCTGTTTTATATAGAAATCTCACCCTTTGTTTCATCTGTAAAAACACCGCAGAATAAATTACAATTCCATCAGAAAAAACTAAGAAATAAAATTTAA